AGCGGGGCTGTGGCACCTTATGAGGGAACAGCGTGCAAGCCTAGGTTCTGGAGGACGCTGTTCTTGCCTTTCTTCTTCCTCCGGCAGAAAGGCCGGCCTGGCAGAGGTAGCCTGCAGGCGTTTCAGGCTTACCCAGGCCTCACTGGAGAAGAAGACCGGAGTGGCCCGTGGCGAGGGCCCGGGCCACCCACTGGGAGAGCGGCTGGAGAGAGGCTGAGGCGTCGTTGGTCTTGAGGCTGCGATGAGCACATGGTCGTGATCCGTGGGTGGACACCCTTCCAGAGCTCTCTCCAGACCCCTCTGTGACCACCCAGAGGAAGGACGGAGCGACAGATGTGAGGGGGCCCTGGAGCTGGGGCTCGGCCGTCCTACGGGTGGCCGGCTGGCCTGCAGGGATGGGGCTCCAGGCTCTGCAGGAGGCAGAATCCCAGCGCTGACCGCTGGCTGGGGGGGAGGCCCAGGAGCAGTTGTGGCTGCAGGCCACCCTTCTAGTGCTGCTGCTGTTGGGTGTCGTCTGAGGGATCGCCTGGGGGCTGCGGAGCTGAAGGTGCCGGGACCACCCATGGACCCGGGAGGAGGGAACCCTGACGGGCGGCCCCCACCCCTGGAGGAATGGCCTGCTCCCTCTGCCCCAGGCACTCCCTGGTACCTCGGGAAGCCACAGCCACGTTCGTGGCCCGGGGCCTGTGCTCGCCCGTCTCGGTGCCTGCAGAAGCTCTGAGCAGACGGCGGGGAGTGTCTGGGCCGTGGAAGGGTGTTGAGGGCAGGGCTGGCGGCCACATGCCCGTCTCCTGTGCTTCCCACCCACAACTCGCCCTGACCTCGCCCACACCCAGGAGCGTCCATCCTGCCTGCCTGATGCCCACCTGACAGACGTGGCCCACTTCAGGTGGAACCGGGTCGGGACAAGGCTTGCAGAAAGGAAGACTCTAGCCCACACGGCTGGCCCCTGGCCCTGGCATGTGGGTGGGGCCACACCCAGCAGGGCACCTGACCCCCCAGGAACCCGGGCACTAGCATCTGCGGTCATGTCTTGTTTCCCACAGAAGTTGCGGGGCCTGCCGGCCCACACCTTGCCGGGGACCCATGAGCGGTGATCTTGGTGCTCACCAGAGCGTGTCTTCGCGGGTGTTCGGGGACAGTGCACAGTCCAGGGTGTGTGAGGTGCACGCAGCGTCCTGCCCGTGCCTTGGGAGGCGGGACACGGGAGCCTGTGGGGAAGGGGCTCCGACCCCTCAGAGCAGCCACCCCCAGAGCGTCCGGACCCACACTTGGTTCCAGAGTGCCCAGGAGAGTCTCCACCTTGGGGACGGAAAGGGACTTGGGTGGAGGAGGGTTCCCGCTGAAATTGCCTTCCACGCGGCAGAGACTATTTTTATTGCGAGGGTTGCTTTTAAATAACTTAAAGAATGCATCCTGGGGCTCGTTTTTTCGGAAGACATCACAGAGCCACCTAGAGAAGGATGGGCGGTGGATTTGAACCTGAGGGTCCTGGGTGTCTGCCCTTCATCCAAGGTGCTGATCCTGATGGAGCCAGCAGGCAAGGTGGGAATCCCATCCGCCTCCCAGGTGAGCCGCTGCCCCTCCCACGTCTTCACCAACTCTGTTTGGAAACATGGAGGCTGCAGCAGCTGGGGCCAGGGGTAGGGGAAGCCACGTGCGGTCCTGGGGAGGGCACGGCGGCCGGTGTGGAGTCTGCTGCTCGGGAGATGCCGGGTGGCTGAATGGCCACGTTTCATCCCTGTGAATGTGAAGGCTGCAGGGAGACCCCCAGTGTGCCTGGGGGATGGGCAGGTGCCTGAGCCTCGGATGCTGTAGCCTTTCCCCCACCCAGGGCAGATGCGGTGTCCCCCCATCCCCAAAACCTGCTGTCTGCATTCCAGACATGCTGTCTGGGGCACGCTGGGAGAGGGTGCAGGAGGGTTACACCGTGTGGGTCCTGGTGTGTGTGTGGGGGGGTTCCAAGCCGTACAGAGTCCAAGTGTCTGTCTCCACTCGGCACCTTCTCCTGCCGGGTGGATGCACCAGCCCCTTCCTCGTGGGATGGATGTGCATGCATGGGTCCTTCCTCAGTCCTCTACAGGCAAACACAGGCCGTCTCGGCAGTGACTCCTTACAATCCAGATTCCGAAAGCAAAATGACTCCTTTTCAGAAGGTTGTTTCATGTGATGGACATTCTATTCCTTCCTTAAAAAGTGTATTTCAGGCAGGGTGTGGAGGCATGCACCTATAATCCCAGCGCTTTGGGAGACCAGGGTGGGAGGATTGCCCAACCTGGACAACATAGCGAGACCTTGTCACTCCAAAAAAAACCCCTGAGATGAGCCGGGCATGGTGGTGTGCGACTATAGTCCCAGCTGCTTGGGAGCCCGAGGCAGGAGGATTGTCTGAGCCAAGGAGGTCGAGACGGCAGCGAGCCATGATTATGCCACCACACGCCAATCTGGGTGACAGAGTGAGGCCCCGTCTCAAAAAAAAAAATCTCAAAAGCTTTGATGGCCTTGTCGTGTCTTCCCAAGTACCCCCTAAGTGTGCAGGGATGCTGATTGGCAGGCTCGATTCACTTAAGGCAAACGTGTGAAGGCACAATCTTGGTGAAACTATTTGGTGAGTAACTGGGAGGAGGTGGAGCGTTCTTCCTTGCTGGCCACAGAGGTGCCTCTGAGGCCTCAGTTTCCAGAGCTTTCCTCTGCGGCCTAAAACAGGACCCAGCCGTGGCAGGTGAGCGTCCTTGTGGGGTGAACGGACCCCGCCCCAGCAGTGTTCTTTCTGGCTGCTGGTCCCCACAGAGGCCATGGGGGCGGGGGTGCTGGTGGCATCTGGCTGCTTGGAACCACCAAGAGCTGGGCTGTCCTGCCCATGCTAGGGGGTTACAGGATAGCCACGGGCCAGGATGGAGTTGGCCGCTGAGAGCTGAGGCTTGAGCTGAGAGCTGTGACACTTGGAGGGGCCCCTGGAGGGACCTGCGGGGTGGACGCAGCTGGTGCCTGGCGCGGCACTGCCTCGAAGGAGCGCCCAGGGGCACGGAGGGTGCGCCGTGCCCATGCCACCGGGGTCTGCTTCCTGGGCTCCACCACGGCCCCACCCCCACCCTCTGGCTCTGGGGGTCCGGCTGGCCTCATCCGACCTTGGCAAGTCAAGTCGGGTTTTCTGCTCTCCGGGGCCAAAGTGTCCGGATGCGGCTCCAAGTCTCATCGAGTGGCTCTGTCCACCAGAGGCCTCAGGTCTGTGGCCCGGATTCCGAAGGAAGGAAGCCATCCCGACTGTGAAGTGGAAAACAGGCCACAATGGGAACGAAATCTTAAAGACACACAGGGGAACAGGCCCACACAGCTGGCTGTGGACCAGTGATGCCATGCCCTGCGGCTCTCCCGTGGCGAGGCTGCCCTGTCCAGACCCTTGCTGACAGCCCGCAGGTTTTTAGAGTCGGCCTCTCGGGGTGGCAGCAACTCAGAGGTCTGCAGGCCAGGAGTCCTCGCCCCTGGGAAGCGGGAGGTGGGTGGCTTCAGAGCCACAGTTTCACGCTGCCATCCCCTCCCCCACCCCGCATGGAACATGGAGCCCAGACCTGCACCCAGAAACAGCTGGGAGGAGGAGCGCCCGGAGCTGTCCTAGCACCAGGAGTCCGAGGGCTCACCCCCTCTGTGGTCCTCTGAGTTTGAGTCTGCGGGTGCCGGCCAAGGGCACGTCTGGCCTCCCCACCCGTGGCGGCAGCGCTGGGCTGAGCCGTCTGTTGTTTACACGGCCTGCTCCATCCATCAGCTGCTTCATAAACACGGCGGCGGCCTGAGAGCCAAGTGGCCCCATGGCTGGACCGGGGGTCGGGGTGGGGACGCGGTTCCCGGGGTCCGCCAATTGGGGCCTGCAGATTCCAGGCACGGCGGGCCCCGGCGGGGTCTCCTGACCCGAGTTCCAGACTGTGGCGAGGGGAGTTAGTCATTAACCGGGCACAGCCGGCCGGCGTCTGTGAGGCAGGGTCTGGGTGAGCCAGGGTGAGCCGGGCCCCCCGGGACGTGCAGGGCTCCTTCGTGCCCACACGCTGCTCTGGGCCTGGCCGTGCGGCTGGCAGGGCGGGGCGAGTGGCTCCTGGGACCCGGACAGCCAAGACGCGGGAACCCCGGAGGGACAAGCCACGGTTGCTGCACCTCCTGGAGCCCAGTCTCTCCAGCTGCAAGACGGGCTGCGAGGCTTGGGGTTAGACTGGGAAACCTCGGGGCTGGTCACTTGCGGTGTCGTCTGTCAGCATTCGCTGGGGGGTTCAGGGTGAGAGTCTGGCTGTTTCGCCAGGTGGTTTGAAGAAAGCCCCTCATCTCCACAAGGGCCGTGAGGTGCGGGGGAGGGTTCCTGGCCCGGCAGCGAGGAGACGGTTCCGTGGGGGAGCGGACTCGGCCAGGTGACACGGCAGGCAGGCCGGGGGGGGGCCAGAGCCCACACTCGACCCGCGAGCCCACGGCTTCCCGCCCCAGGGCGCACGGCGGAC